ATCCTGGATTGTTTATGAGCATGTTTTCTTTCCCTGAGACTTGTTAAATACTGCGATAAAAACATTTTTATATATTCTTGTAAAATAACCTATCCTCGTTTCCAACTCTGGATTAAATTATCCTTTGTATTAGTTGCATTTCTAAAAACTCTTCTTCTGAGATGGAAGTGGTTAATGTGCCACCAATCCTTAAGAAATCTGCGGGACTCAAAATTTGCTCTATATCCTGTCCAACTGAAGTGAGAGGTCTGGTATTAATGACTGCTTCTAACTCTTTTATTATTGTAGCCAGTTGTGTATCATTAATTAAATGCTTATCTAAAGTTCTTTTTAAACAATTTTTTACAATGCCTATCAATCGTTCATAAAATCCAACGAACCAGGGTGCCAATTCGGGTATAAAACGCCAAGAAATATGGTTTTTTACGCAGTATTCTGATGTTAGTACTTCAGAAGTTAATTTGAACTGAGTAACGTTATCTCAGATCCACCTCTTTTCCACTGATCCATCATTTACTTTAAGAGGACCAAAGTAATCCATGCCTGTAAAAGTAAACTGTGAGGAATAACGTACTCTTTCAGCAAGTAAAAGTGGCGTTAATGGCATTTTGTACGGTCCTCCACCATATTTTCGACATTGTAAACAATTGCGCAAAATTTTTTGTACCTGAGATCGACCTTAGAGGATCCAATACTTGTTCCTTATTAAGGCCAAGGTATGTGCTACCCCTTTATGATAATTGTCTCTATTCTCGTTGTGAATTCTGAATCTTTCGGTAGAAGAATTGGATTCTTCTTTTCATCTGTCCATCCAGCATTTTCAAATCTGCCACCACATCGTAATACTCCGTTTTCATCTTTGAATAAATTTAATGATCGTGATAGATCTGTAATCTTTCCTTCTGATTCTTTTCGTAATCGCATATTCTGCAATTTAATTATTTCTTTTATTTCGTCTATCCTTTGTCCTTCTTTTATTTTTAACTGTTGTGTTTCGTTCTCATCTAGTCCTTCATTACTATTCTCAATCATTGCTATTTCATTATTTGAATTTCTTGTGTCTATGATTTCCACCTTCTCATTTTCTTTTTCATTATCATACATCTCTTGATCTTCTTCATGATTTTGATTGTCATCTTCAATTCTATCTTCTGCTGATAGACCTTCCCCAACAACGGACATTTGAATTTGGTCGTTTTGGTTTCTAAATATTTGCGGCCAATATTCTTCTGCTAATGTCAGAAACTCAGGTCCTTTTAACCGTTTTTTGACAGCAATTGCACCATTAATTGGTCGAGTTGCTCCATCTGCAGGATTGAGACTGGTTGGAACGTATCGCATGTACAAACCTTTGTTTTGCCTTAATTCATTTATTCTTCTAATTATGAAAGGTGGCAGAAGCTTATCAGAATTTAACTAAAACGATTCAGCTTAAAACGATTTCGCTTTCGACCCATAAAAATTGTTTTTGTATTGGTACTCTGAGAAACTTACTGATATATTGCAATAAGCGATTACCGATTACAACTCCTAATAATTCTAGTTTTAGGATTTGTAAATTTTCTTTAATAGGGGCTACTCTTGATTTACTCAAAACAAGACCAATTGAGCCTGTATTTATATGCTCTTCAAATATACGCAGATATACTACAGCAGCGTATGCTTGTAATGCCGCGTCAGCAAAACAGTGTAGCTCGTATTTCACGTTGTGTTGTCCTGAATTTTGCTCAAAATACATACGGGGAATTTTCAAATTGTCAATAATTTTAAACTCAGTCACTATAGTTTGCCATTTCTTTACTATTTCTGGAGGTAATGTCTCATCCCATTTCAGTCTAAGTTTTCAAAGCTCCCGTAACAAGAGCTTCGCTGGCAAAAGGATTGGTGCGATCCAACCACATGGGTCATAAATAGAAGCTGTCACTTTCAGGACTCCCCTTTTTGTCATGTTGTTCGTAGCTGATTCATAGTGAGGTCTTAATTGCAATTCATCTGTATCTATATTCCATTCAATTCCGATTACTTTGTTGACCTTCCTTTCATCTCTGTCTTTTACTGGAATCCGTCTCATGAAGTCTTTAGAGCTGGAATTCCATTCTCGTAAATTCATAAATAACTCCTAAAAGGATTTTTTCGCAGTATCATGTAGTTTTATGGCTTCATTCACAGACTGTGTACCTGTCACCAAATTGTCAACGTAAATATCTCGTACTATTTGTTTGTCACTTTCCTTTTTTTGATCTATTTAAGTGATACATCACTGTTGCATTTAATAAAAATGGACTTGAAATTACTCCAAAGGGCACACGGCAGAATCGTAAATGTATGAGATTATCGGGCGACACTTTCTTATCTAAATCCATAAAAATCTTGTTACGTCCCGGCCATGTTGTTGAAGCCCGATTTGTAAAAATGCCTTTTCTACATCTGATATAATAGCCACTTTATGCTCTCTAAACCTTAAAAGCAGTTACGTCCCGCCCCCCGAGGAGAACGGTTCGAAAACTTAAACGCTCCACGGTTAAAAATATAAAAAAGTGGGAAATCCGGCACGTACAACAACAAGTGATATATCAAAAGAAGCGTCTCGCCGCGACCTACACGCTGACATTTTATCGAGTGAGAAAATCCGTGAAGAATTGTGAAAGTTATCACCAAAAAAGTGAAAAACAAACACGTGGTTGTTAAAAAATTAAGTGTTTTTGATAAATAACTTCGTGAAAACTCAGCGGATTTTTGCGAACGAAGCGTCGCCAGACGCGCGCTCGCGAGACGCATCGTTGGATACCTTGGACTCCCCTCAACTCCGCGTGGCTTGAGAGGTATTTGGAAATAACCAAATAACCTCTCGCCACGTGGTACCAGATCCGGGGGACCTGGGGGACCGCCGACACCACAGGAAGGAAGAGGACGCAAACACAAGTAAATAGAACCTTTTCTCTAAAAAAGAGAATGAGATTTGCAGAACCTACGCACTTTTGAAAATTATCAACTTCAAAATTCATAGTGTCTGGGGATTGTGGGGAACAGCTCCTTTTTATTAGCGGCCCGGCTAGACAATCCCCAGACCTATCTGGGAAAAAATCAGCAACGACGGGGCTGGTCTACATCCGGAGGAATCGGCCCGGAAAAAGTGGGCCCACTTTTCTGCGAGCTCCTGAAGACCAGATCCTGGAGGTAGAAAGCTGTATTTTAGATATAAGTTATATGTATATTAGACCTAAACGCAGGTGAAATTTCAGAATTTTAACACCAATAGTTTTTAAGATATTAATATTTTTGTCCTCTTTTGTCCCACTATATAAAACCGAAGAAAGGTAGGAGTTAACAGACCTCGGGAAAGGTAATATAACCCCCCTAGGACCATATGACATCCCAAAGTTCGGCCCTCTAACGTTTAAAACAAAAAACCCGAGAAAAGACGGCCATATTGGCCCGAAGAGGCCGAGTTTTAAACAGCTTATAACTTCGTGGTTTTTAAAGCTATAGAGACGCGGTTTTCGCATTACGAACGAGCGAGCCCCCCTCTTGCCAATTCCGGACCCAAAATTCAAAATTTCCAAAATTTGAAAATTTTCAAAAATTTCGGCCCCAAATTTTTTAGAACCTAAATTTGGAACGGGATCCTGTTAGATCTCTGTCCCCCCATCCCGGCATCGAAATCCCCGCGTTTCTGCGACGCGAATTGACCGAGATATAATTTTCCAAAAAGTGGTCGGCCATCTTGGTTCGGCCATTTTGGAAAATTTGGAAGGCCTGTATCTCGGTCAATATCGGGCCTAGGAGACCGGGACTTCGACTCAAGTCCCTCCCCCATTCCCACCAATATATCCCATAGGGTGGAATTCCAATTGGACGGGTTGAACTCAACCCTCCAAGTTTGAGATTGCTTCGGCAAGAACCCACCCTTCCATCACCTCCACTCCAAGCCCCGACTTCGGGCGGCCAATAGGATCGGAGATATAGCCCTTCAAAGTCGGTGGGATAAGCTTATCCCAAAACTTTGAGGGGCTGTAGCAGCCGTACCACTGGTCGCAGAGGAACGGGGTTTTCAAAACCTACTACCCCCTGCCAAGCCCTATCAGACCCATAGGGTGAACCACCCCTATCTCAAGGTCGAGGGAAAATACCAACTGACCCCGGAAATAGGTGCGGCAGGACCTCCCCCATCCATCCCTAAAAAATCCCCGTTCCACACGACTGATAGTTTCGGAGATATCGGCACTCGTCCCTTTCGGGCTGAGTTTTTTGGCGATTTTGGCCAAGGAATATCTCCGAAACTACCCATCGTAGAAAGACAAGAGAGGCATCGGGAGATAGAACTCGAGGAGGACTACGGGACGGCACGGGACGCGACCCCATAGACCCGGGTTTTCCGGAGAAAATCCCGGAAAACACGGAAAATCCTGGAACTTTGTAAATTTTTACAATAAAATTCGGAAAAAATTCATATAGAGACATAATAACGAATAGTAAGGAACAATATAAAAATTGACACAATATATACACAAATATATAGTAATTTACCGACTTATATATTGACTTTTATTTTGACCTTTATTTTAAAAACTTTATTTAAATTTAAGTTAACCTGACAACGTACCCTATTGGGACGGGTCTTAGTTAGTAAGTTTTCGATCTAGACGTATCGAGCTAGGCTCTGCGATAAGAATACGACACATACGAAACTACTCAACGCATATAATACAGAAACTCACCACACACCAACACGCTGAGATATAGACAGCAGTAGACCTGCAACTGGGACATCAGCACTGAAACAAAAAACAAAATTACACATATACACCACTAAAAATAACACATAAAACATTACATATAATACAACACCTTAATTACATTTGCTACAACACAACATACACTCAATACAAAAATATTTAACATCTAAATATAACAAATACTCGCCACAGACACACATCATACGAAGTTCGCTTTCCCCCGAATCAAAGCAATTGAGGACAGTATCTAGGACAGAATTAAAAATGATCAGATCACCAAAACCGACACAAAGGCAGACCACCAGCCAAATCCCTACTCCATCACCTAGGATGAGCTTGGATAGTATTCCAAAAACACCACCATCACAAAAGGGAACAGGACCCCAAGAATGGGGCCCCGATATGGATCGTTTCTGGGAAGATCTGACCACCATTACCAATAGAATAGCAAAGGCCATTGATGTACTGGAAACGCAGCCAACTTTAAGGAAGGATACTAAGGAAAAACTAATTACAACCCTGAAAAAGACAAAGGAAAAAACTAAAAAGATGGAAAGTACTGCAGAGGAGATAAGATCCTATATAGAACAACAAGAAATTAGGTTCTCAGGCATGCAAAGAGACTTACAGGAAATAAAAAAGGAAGGAAACATCATGGAAAAAATTGATGGAATAGAAATAGGGATGAAAAAGTTGCAAGAGGAACAGATGGATAAAATGAAATCTGTAATGAAGGAATGGGAAATGAAATGGGAAATGGAAAATAGAGAAAGACATACAAGAGCGGACATACGACACATCGAACACACAATAACAATGGACCCCATAGAAGTTTTTAAAAGAATAGAAAACATGGAAGACAATATTACAGCAGAGATAATAGATATGGGAAGACGGGTGGGAGAAAAATCAGAGGACAATGAGAACAGCATAAAACAAATAATAGAAGAAAAAACTAAAGAGCTGAAAAATGAAATAAACAAGTGCTCAAACGGGGGTACAGACTATAAACACAACACACCCATACTAGAACGACTGGCTGATACTGAGGAATATCTAAATGGACGAATAACTCATGCAAGGGAAGAGGTAATCGCAGAGATGAAGCAACAAATAGAAGCAGTCAAATATAAGAGCGAGAAAGAGAACCCAGAAGCGGAATACACAGGCACCAAAAAGACATACGCCGAAGCCATAAGGGATAGTAAGAACAAAATCCCGAAAACTCTTCATTCCATAATTGTATCATCTAGCAATCAACTTGATACAAGCGAAGAGGTCCTCAATAAAGCCAAAGAAAAAATTGAAGCAAAGAAGGAAGGACTGAGAATTGATAGAATTAGAAAATGCAAAGACGCAAGAATAATAATAGGGTGTGAGACAATAGAACAGATTAATAAAATAGAGGATAAACTAAAATATAGCAAAGGACTGAAGGTAGAAAAAATTAAAAATAAAGATCCATTAGTGATATTAAAAGACGTTTACAATGACATAGGAGATGAAGAAATTCTACAAGCAATTAAAGAGCAGAATAGTAACATTTTCCAGGATCTAATAGAAGACGATAAAATAATGAGAATAAAATTTAAGAAAAGCACAAAAAACAAAAATGCCACCCACGTAGCTCTGCAAGTAAGACCGGCACTATGGCAGAGGATGACCGGGGCTGGATACCTCCACGTAGACCTACAAAGGGTCAGAGTGGAGGACCAGTCCCCGGTGGTTCAGTGCACAAAATGCCTGGAATTCGGGCACGGGAGAAAATTTTGCACTGCGGGCGCGGACAGGTGTAGCCACTGCGGGGGACCTCACCTTCGAACGGAATGTCCCGATAGGGAGGAGAAACCCCCGAGGTGCTGCAACTGCTCGCGCTCGGAGTTGCAGAATACAGCCCATAATGCCTTCAGTAAAGAATGCCCTACAAGAGCAAAATGGGACTTTCTGGCCAGGGCCACAACGGCATATAGCTAGACAGATAAATACCGGACGAGACAATACACAAAACGAACAAAAAACACAACACAGGCAAAAAGACAATTACAATAAAAATGGGAAACACAACACACATTCAAAACATTACATACATAGGAATTCATACACGAATACAATGATAGTAGGAATGTATGAATCCAAGAACACAAACCAACACAAATGTATGAACCAAGACCCAAATGAATTGGAAATTGACTCATATACATATACACATAGAAGTAGAAAGCGAATAGAATAGTTCAGTACACCTTTGCATATTATTGAATATGTAAAAGTGTCTGAAAAAGAAATAGAAGTTAAACTAAAATAGAATGAAGGACAATTAAACAGAAAGGGGACAAAAATATAAATAAATAGAATATATATAGTATAGAAATGTAATAGCTTAAGTAGAGATAAGATTATGTAATAGTTATAGAAGAATATATAAACCATACAAAGAGGCAATAATGTAATAGCATAAGTAAATATAAGTGAATATGTAGAATAAAATAAGTTTGAAATATGCCGTTGTACCAAATGGACAGGAACAATGCAATGTATTAAAGTATAACAGTAACAGAATTATAAAGACCTTAGAGGAATAATAAATGTAATAAATGAAGATAAAATAGCAAAACAGTAAATGTAATAAGAATTGTAAGTAAAACGAGAGAAACATAATAGAATATATAGACTAAATATAGAACCATAAAAGTTGAGTGAAAATGTTAACTGCCTATAAAGGAATAGAATTAAAAATTAGAAATTACAAATAAGAAAAGAACATTAAGTAGATTATATAAAAAGGACTAATTTAAGTATGTGAAACGAAAATACATGTAGACAGAAAACAAAATGGAATACATAGATAAGATAAAATAATATAAAATAGGATAAGCAAAAATGTAAACTGTTATAATAGAATAAAAATAGTAGAAAATAAGAAACCGTGAATGTATAAAGTAGAAATAATAAAATATAAGAATAAAGTAAAACCCGACATGAAATCCTGTAAACCCTGGAAAAATAAAGAATATATAAAAGAAGCATAGAAGTAGGAAAATAGAATAGGCGGGAAATCCCACCCGTTAAAGTGCAAAAGACGATGAATGATTGTGTCGTATGAAGTATGAAAGTACGAGAGGCATACCAGCGAGAACTGGAATGTATGAGAAAATTTGTCAAAAAAGGGCCTGCTAAAAAGTGGGGGAAAGCAGTAAAAAAATAAAAAAAAAATAAAAAAAACCTTAAAAGCAGGCCTGTCAGTTCCTCTAACATTGATGGTCCCCCTATACAAACACTCATTGAGGCTACTATTATTTTTCCCTTTTGCCGACCCATCATACACTATCCTCAATTTAGTTGATTTCGTTTCTTGTATGACACAGTGATGAGGCAGATAATGTACGGGATGATCGTCGGGTAGCAAAGTGTGATCAACCGTTTCTATGACACCACTTTTAAGCTGTCCTCGTATGACTTCGTCATACATTGCGATAGCTTCGGGTTCAAGTCTTTTAATAAGGTTTGACAACCTTCCTAGAGCCAATCCGAAATTAACTGGTAGCGATGTTGGTGAATACTCTGTCCATGGCCATTTTACATAGTAACGGTCATTTACATACTCTGTTGTTTCATTGAAATACTTAATTGCTTCTTCATCTCTAGACGATTTAGGGGAATCGGCAATACCTATTGATTCTAGGTCCCATAACTGTTTCAAATTTTCGTTTCAAAGTGGTAAATCAGGTTCATAAAAATGAGTTTTTGACTCTGTGTTCGACTGAAAGTACGTTAAGATCTACCATATCCACCCGAAATCCATATTTACTAAGAAAAGGTCCTCCTCTTCTTTTACTTTTACATGGGACATAAATGAGTAATAATAATCGTTTCCTAGAAGAATATCGACTTGATCGTTTCTATTATACCCATCATCGGCCAAAACGACGTCGTCATCATGCAAAATGTTTTATTCATTAAATATATTGCTGAATGAACACGGAACACTTTGTGTAATATTAGGGACAACATTAGCGTAAATTGTCTTGATTTTGTTAGTTTTTGTCACTATTTCAAACCCGACTAAAGGACTGTTAATTTCTTGTGGAGTCTGAGCTCCAAAAGTAAACACTGACAATCGATTTTCTTCGAGAATCAGTAGATTCAGTTCTCTCGTTATGTATGATCGTTAGCTGCCACTGTCCAATAATACGCGACAGTTCAAAAAGTGTTTGTTGTCTCCGACTTTAAAAACATGAACAACACAAGTCTGAAGTATTGTAAGACTATTTTTACTGTTAACTTGCTATATATTTGTTGTATTCAGTTCCTGAATTAATTTTGGACAAAGCGCTCGGTTGTGCAGTTCAAATTTACCACAATGACGGCATTTTCTTTTTGTTTTGCAATCGTTAGCTTTATGTTCTTCGCTAAAACAATTATAGCAACGCCCTAAAAGTTTATTTTTCCGCTCGTATAAAGTTTTAAGTGTAGAACATTCATCATTGTAATGTTCTTGACTACAAAAAATACATTTATTTTGAACTTTGGCTTTCTTTGGCAAAGGTTCGACCCGTTCTGTAGTTTTATTACTCTCGAAAACCCTCTTTCTGACATTAAGGTTCAACATCTATCACAACTAATATTTTTACCTGTTGTAGAAGTTCGTGAAATGTCTTTTTGTGCCTTGCAAACATCTTTCAAATATATAAATAAATCTTCTAGTTCGGCGAAACGTGCTGAAGATGCTCCTGTTTGAATTGTTCTGTTATCTATACCATGGTCTATACAATCTACTGCCTTTTTACCATTAATATCACATGAACGTAACAATGTAGTTTTTTCGTAATAATACTCGTCTAAATTTTCCCCAATCTTTAGACGGTGTTCTAACATATCTGCCAGTAGTACACCATAATTGGTTTCTGACAGAAAAGCTTTCTTTAATAAAAATTGCCACTGTTCCCAACTATGTAATATTGATGCCTGTCCATTGTTCCATTTCTTGGCATTTCCAATAAGTTTGGGAAGTGCAAAATGTATGATTTGCATATCATTCCAATTATAAATATTTGCGCATTCATTTACTTTTGCTATCCATAAATCAATGCGATGATTTTTTATGGAAGGGTCAAACTCAGGAATTATATTGGTCTTGTAAGAGATTTTAATAATTGAGTCAAATCATTATTATTAATTAAAACATCATTACTGTTCTGCTGATTTAACTCTGATAAAGGTAGTTTTAACAATTGCTCAGCAGGTTGTGAGGTTGAAGTATATGTTTCCTGTTCCATCTGAACTGCAGCTGTTTCATCTACAGACACATTTTCTGTTACTATTACAGGAAACTGTTTTCCTTGTTTAATTGTAGATTTATTCGGTAATACAGTTTCATTACTGCACAATATACTTTCTTGATCAATTATCATATGATCTCGTTTTGGAGTATAGCGTCGACTTCTTATGGATTTTTGACGTTTTTTAGATTGCCTTCTATGACATGACGATTCATCTGATATTTCAGCTTCCGATATTTGACTCGATGACTCTTCTGAAGAATACCGCCGTCGTCGTTGTTTATGACTGTTATGGGAGCGTTTTGACCGTTTTGCTCCCATGATCACCAAATTTGGTTGTTCTTGCCACTTCTGATAAAAGCTCACAACTCGTATTTATGGTTAGGATCAACTAGATGATTATATAGAAAATAGATGATTGGTTTTTTAAAAACAAAGACACGTTATATTATAAAATAATCGCTTTACTTCTCGGTCCACAATCAATAATCCATCAATATAAACAAAAACAAAATGCCGTATCACACTCGGAAATTACAACTTACAACTCTTAATAATAACCACCAGGGGGCACACCTCACCAATAAAAACATGTTTTACAGACTACTTTTCGCCTAGCCATTAAATCGCATCACAGAGTATATCTTTAAGGAACCAGTGTTGCCCTTCCTCATCTAGTTATTTTAACTTACACTTCTAACAATCCTTTCATCATATTCAGTTCTCAAAGCTTCTTTTTCTGGTGTGTCTGTCAGAACAGCGGACTTCCTCTTGCGCCTGCTATTTTATATTTGTTTTTCATGGTGGTGCCTTTGGTAATAGTCTTCGATGGGGAAAATTGGTTTTGACCTGAACAACTCGGAGTTGGTATGTTTGCAGTTTCTATGTCACGTTTAATTTCAGTCGTGCTGATATCTAAATCAGGAATCGAAACTAACAGTTCCGGATGTTCATTATTCAACGATAAATTTTCAATCACAACGTTTAAAGGCCCGGTAGCTTTAAAACCGGAAGCTTTAAATCCACTCATAAAATTTGGAGGGTTCAAGGCAAATGTAATGACTCCTTCATTACACCTGGGATGTCATAAATAGTCATGGTTTTCCCCGGGTTATTATGCATCCATGCCGTCTGTGCCCTATTCACGTAGTTTTTAAAAGGGCCATAGACTCCTACGTCCATAGGTTGCAAATTGTGGGAGTAATGTCTCTGTCATCTGACCATTTTCTTGTTCATGAATTAGAGAAGATTCAAAATAAAAATTTAAGACATATTACAGGAGCAACGAATACAATTCCGATTATATCTATGCAAGTAGAGTGCAATATTTCTCCATTACTTTTAAGATTCAAATATTTAAAATTTAAATTCATCCTTAAAATCCACAGTATTAATAATCACCCTTTAGTCGATAAACTGATTCGTCTAAGTGAATCTTCTTCATCATTAACATTAATTGTAAATACTCATTGTAAATTCCCATATGGTTACTTCTTGGAAAAGCACTTTTTGAGTGTCACATGGACATTTCCTATAAAAATAAATTATTATGGTAAAAACTACTATTACATCGTTTCTTCATTTCATTAAGCATAGTGTCATATAGATTTCACGGATAAAAAACGACGTAGATCGGAGTAACTTACCCTCAACACCTCAAATCCGGTCAATTTTGCACGTTTTTACCGTGTCACACGCGCGCCGACTTTTGAGCAATCGCAAATATTTTTGAAATTACCCACGTTTTTAATCAGTTTGTTACACACATTTAAAAAAGACAAATCGGTTTACATATTGATCAAATTTCAAATTAATCGGAAAGAAACTTTTGATTTTATGGTTAGAAGTATATGTGTCACACGCTTAGCAAAATTTTCGCCTCGCGCCTTGCGCGAGATACTGCTCTGAGCTGGCGAGGCGTAGGCGAACCCCGATTGGTGTTTGCGAATCGTCATTTACGCCGCAGCTAGCAGGTGAGGCCACGTCGCTGTTTCCCGCGCTTTCGTTGCTAAAATAAGTTCTTCAATTTCTTAAATTTTGGTTCTCAATTATCCGGCTTTGCCATGTCACATTTTTTCAATATAATTGTACTTCTTCTAGAAAATGGATTTTAAGGTGAAATATCTAGCTCTATAATGTAGATAAACAGTAATAAACTAGCTGGTTATATCTTTTCAATGCAGAGTAATTTCAAAATATATGATTTTTGGTAATTTTCATGGATAAAACACCATGGAAATTACGTATCACCCATGGAAATTACCTTGTTTCTTTTTGGTTGCAAAAAAACAAACGTTATGTTCAATGTTTGTTTTCAATGAAATGCACGCCATCGCCAAATACAGACTTAAATGTTGAATGTTGGTTATTTTTTTTAATTAAATCGTCTTAAATATCATTTAACACTTTTATCATCATCTTCAAGTTCTCAAATCGTGATTAAACAAATTCAAGTTTAAAACATCTGTCTTTCGCTGTCGTCTGTTTGAAGTTAACAGGGTCACAAGGACATTTTTTACACCGGATTAAGTTAACATATTATATAATTAATGTGGGATCGCGGGGCAAATAAAAGTATAAATACGCGAATTAATAATTTATTTTAAAATCTTTAATTACGTCTTGTGTCTACGTCGTCGTCTTTCAAAATCGTCCCCCTCTCACTCGTTTTTCCTCTCTTTCGCACACTCGTTCTACCAACTTGCCTTTCACTTACGTTCGGATACTTACATCGTACTTCCATAATATCAAATCTAACATACGCTCGGAAACACATAATCCCACATTCGGTCATCCTGCAATCATGTCTGTCCTCAGACATGCCATAAGTTTTATAACAAATAGACAAAAGCAAACATCTTATATAAAATAATTAATGCATTTTTACGCTTATCTTTAACAAGTACTTAAACTTAAAGTAACAAATTTTATAAATTTTGTTAACTAACCCATAGAGTACAATGTAACTTATAATTAAAATACAATGTTGGTGATGGTGTATGTTATCCAAATCATTCTTAAACATAGTTATCATATTTTTACACATAACAAGGCTATTCAATATGTAAATGTAATACAAGCTTAATTATGGAAATAAAATAACACACTGCCACATCGTGCCACCTGCAAGCTAGCGATTACCCAAAATTACGAAACAAACTATGAACCAGTCACGAGGCGCTGACGCTGCGGAACGTGCTAGTGGTGGGTCGTTGTCAAAATTTTCGACGACGGAACGCAGCCGTTTCTTTATAAACGAAAACTAGTTGTCGAAACGGTTCTCGTTCGCAACTGGTTTGAGATTGATGTGGGACTAGGACGGATGACGACGGACGAACGAACGCGAAACGTAAACTTCAAAGCACACTTATGGAAATCTCGTCGACGTTCGTCTCGACAAGTGAACGGTTCCGGAGTTGCGACTATTGAATTTTTATTTTAAATTTTAATTTTATTCTTCCGTTTCCGTTTTTTTAATTATGAATGAACTCCCCTTCATACTTTTCCAGGCTTAGGACTGGCTGGTAATTATTTTTATACCAGGCGTATTTAAAAGTTCATTTCATTTTATATACATTTAGAATTTTTTACACATATTTACACTGCTGTACATAATTTTTTTTTAATTTTTTTTTTGTATTTTTATAGATGTAAGAATTTTTATCGTACCTATTTACACATTTTTTGTTTAATAAATATAAATTTTTTCTTATTTAAATTTTGAATCGTTCCTCCGACATGTTGACATTTAGAAACATAAGCTTCTGTACTTTTCTGGTAGTTAATCTGGTCCGACGTTGGTTAATTATTAATCCTGACTTGGAAAACATCCGTTCACAGGGAATGGATGTTGCTACGATGTTACATTGGCGTATATATAATTTAGCCAAATTGGGGTAGACTGCACGGTGGTTCCTCCACCACTCTAAAGGACAATTCCAATTACCGGCAGAATTTTTGCGAGGCAATCTCTCATCTGTCAAATACATGTCCACTTCCTTGATCGCCCGGGACAGTGGAGTTCCCTTTGTAGATTGTCCAAGTAACTTGTCAAAAATTGACCATGGGCTTAGGTCGTTATCGGGCTGCGGACACGGCTCTTGGTTTTGTTCAGCAGGAATAAGCTCTGCTCTCTGTCTCTCATCTCTGCTTATAATATCTGCCACGAGCTTTTTTACATGCTCTTTAGTTCTTGTGGCCTCACTTTCTTCTTGAAATCCCTGCATCTTGAATCTCGGGTCCATGAATGTACAAAGAGACAAGGTTCTGCTTTTCTCTATATGTTTAAGTCGATCTAATAAACCGGCTTTCAAGAATAGAGCAATATCACTGACAGTTTCT